GGGGGGGGGGGGGGGCAGACATGCTTATAGCTCACTGTCCCACCCTGTTTATTTACATCCATTTTAATATTATATTACCATCTAAGCCCAGATCTTCCAAATGGTCTCTTCCTTTAAAGTTTTTCAATGAGAATATTGTCTGCATTTCTCATCTCTACCATGTGTATCTTGCCAATTTTATTCTCACTGTACTCATCCTGATAATATGTGGTAGAAAAATTACAAAGTTCCTCATTATGCAGTTTTCTTCAACCCCATGTTGATTTCTTTCTCTTAAGTCAAACTACTTTCCTCAGGACTTTGTTATACTAGGAATGTCAATTTTGGTAACTTGAATAGGGTTGAGTTTAGTGAGAGTCATGTGGTTAGATGTGATTTTGAGAAAACATAAAAGCACCCCCTTTTGGCATAATATATAAGGTATTACAGATTTTGAGTTTCTGTTGCTGCTACTACTACATTTCTGATTCTGGCAGACTTACTTGTTGTTATTGGTCAGACTCAGTTCTGAAATGAAATGGGGTGTGTTTGTTGATTTAAAGAAGTTGGTTTTGTGTAGGGTGGATAAATTCATTTTCTGCTTCATTTTGACGCTAATTCTAGTAGAGAGAGACACTTTTAGTAGAGTTCCAGGTTTCTTCATGCCTGTTATGTAAATATTTCTCTCTCTTTGCTGCCTTTCATTCATCATATTCCACCAGGAAAGAAATTCCATACTGTGTTGTCTAAAACTGAAGAACTATTAATTTTTCAGACTTCGGTTACAAAATGACAGAATATGGTGGTATGAACACATTTTAGGAAAGAAAAGAGAATAGCTTTGAACATAAGGTAAGACAAAAATGTCCAAAAAGGAGACTGAGATTAAGATGGGACCAGCTGGTTATGAAAGATGTCAGAAAGGGAAAAAACAAAAAAAACTATAGGAAGATAGAGACTATAGCCGTCCACCTTCTTCGTTTCTTGCTCCAGCTAGCTAGGGACTCAGGGTCGTTAACAGGGATCGAACATGCAATGATGAGATGGTAATTGACAGTGGATCTAATTGTACCTTTATTATATAATTTCTTTGAAACACAAGCTTATAAAAGTTTTTAACCTTCTTCTGTCAAGATACTCTCCACGACTGCTGCTGCTGGCTCACTCCCCCAAGAGACCACATATGAGTCCCCCGCCTACTTTCTCACTTAACACAAACGACTCTTTGTTTTAAGGAATTCCAACCAGCTCGCCCTTGCAGCGTTAATCCACAGGACTCTAATGTCTGGATGGTTACAAGACATATTAAAATTTCTGTCTTCTGGGTTGTTGCACCGTGTAGTATGGTAGATGTTTACCAAAGTTTCAGAGGTCATACTCGCCCTGATGATGGACGCAGTATGACTTCTGAAATGTTGGCAAACATCTACCATACTACATGGTGTAACAACCCAGATGACAGAAATCTTCATACTCACCGCTGTGAAAACCTCAAACTTTACATAGAGACATATTGATTGGCTTGGTTGTCAGATGACCCACATAAAGTGGAAATGTCTGAGGAAGAAGAGGAAACTAACTCCTTCAGTTTTGTCTCTGTGCTTAAGTATTACATCATGAAGATGTATGTGAATATGGAGGCAACACTCTTAAGTATGACACAAGTGGTCAGCTCCATACTCCATCTGGGAAAAGACTCACTGGAACCCATTATATAGGAGATTGGGTGGGCCCCAGAATTGTTCTGAATGTGGTAAAATAAATCCCCATCCCTGCCAGGAATCAAGTCATGGTTATTCAATGTATAGCCAGTCCGTTTATTAACTAGGGTTTTAATCTCTTTAAGTCAGTTGTAAAATTTAAACTTTGAATTCAAATATATAATATAATTCAAGTCTATACACAAACTTTAAATTGTTGATGTTAAAATTTAAAATTTATATTGATATTTTGCGCTATTCATCGTTATTACGATGTTACAGTATTGCGCTTTATACTACTACATGTTTCAATGCATAGCATCATCTTCAGGTTTTTTTATCTTTAAAACTACTCTATATTTTTAATGCAAGTTTT